GAATAAGGATGTCGGCCATTCAGCAGACCGACTCTGTTTCCACAACGGAGAAACCTAAGTCGCCTGTTGATGGTGATTCGTCAAGTGATAAAAGCACGGAAGAAGCTCGAGAACAAGACACAGAACGGGGTGAAGAATCGGGTAGAACTTTTGCACCGATCAATGCGTCCGCCGCATCAAACAACGAGCGATCGCAGAAGCTGCAGCGCACTACGTCTTCGACCATTGAGCGCAGCTGGTCGCTGAATGATGGATACAGCTGTCATACCGTCGACGAAGAAGCGGAAGATAAATCTAACCAACCGGGAGAAGCAGCCGAAGGTGATGAGTTTGTTGTCGGATGGGACGACAATGACCCGATGAACCCCCGCAATATGAACAAGTTCCGGCGATGGCTTATTGTCGTGATCTGCTCGTCGGGTTCACTCTGTGTGTGAGTCTCGAGTCTGCGACGACATAGCACATAGACAATACTGACAGTACGGCTTCGAGGACTTGCACCTCGTCCATGTACACCTCCACCTACGGGCAGCTGATGAAGGATCTTGATTGTTCTCAAATTGTGGCTACTCTCGGCCTTTCCTTCTTCATTTGGGGCTTGGGTAAGTCTGCTTAAGGGTCTCACTGCGTGGTTTGCGGGAGTTGACCAGAGGCTGATTGTAGGAATCGGACCGTTGTTTCTGGCGCCATTATCGGAGGTTTGTCAACTCTGCGTGGCTCTCTGCGTTCCACTGCTGATATGCCACAGTTCTATGGCCGAAAGTGGATTTACATCGTCTCGTTTACCTTCTTTTTGATATGGTTGATCCCGTGTGCCGTGGCGCAGAACATCCAGACTATGATCGTAAGCCGTTTTTTCAACGGCCTTGCTGGCAGTGCTTTTCTCAGCGTTGCGGGAGGTACAGTGGGCGATTTGTTTGACCGCCACGAACTCAGTGCCCCTATGATGCTATACACAGCTTCTCCTTTCATCGGTCCAGAAGTGGGCCCGCTGTATGTTCTCCTCGAATTGTCTCAGCTCGGACGTTGACCGGGTCGAAGCTCGCTCTTGTGCAACGGGGACTAACAGGAAGTTACCCAGGGTTGGCGGGTTCATTAACCAGTTCACGACATGGTAAGCTCATCCGTCAGTTTGTTGCCAAGCAATACCTTAACAAGTCTATCATATCTTCAGGCGCTGGACGTTTTATGTGCTTCTCATCTGGTCCGGTGTCCTTCTGGTCTCGATTATTCTGTTTGTTCCGGAGACCTATCACCCAGTGTGAGTGCTTTCAGGTCCCTGTATCGTATCTAAAGGCATTGGCTCAGCTGACTCGACTTGGCCAGACTCCTCCGGCGCAAGGCGCAAAAGCTCCGCAAAGAAACGGGAGACGACAGATGGAAGGCTCCAATCGAACGAATGAACCGCTCGGTAGCACGGACTATCCTACGATCTACCTACCGGCCGTGGCTTCTATTGGCGCTGGAGCCAATGTGTTTGAACCTCTGTATATTCTCTGCCATCCTGCTGGGTATCCTCTATCTTTTCTTTGGTGCTTTCCAGCTCGTCTTCGGCAACGTATACGGCTTCGAGCTATGGCAAAGAGGTCTGTCGTTCCTCGGTCTCTTTGTTGGCATGGTCTTTGCCATCCTATCTGATCCTTTCTGGCGTCGAGTCTACGTTCGTTTGGAAAAGGAGCACGAAAAAGCTGTTGGGAAACCAGATGATTTCCAACCCGAATGGCGGCTACCTCCAGGTGTGTATATTCCTGGCGACTTGGTTATCCGCATATTGAGCCAGAATAAACCTTACTAATATTTGTCTTCTTCTTATGCAGCAATCCTTGGAGGTCCGCTCGTCACCATAGGTCTCTTCATATTTGCCTGGACCATCTATCGTCATGTGCACTGGATTGTACCACTGATTGGCAGTGCGTTCTTCGGAGCCGGGTAAGTTTGCAATATGGCTGACCCTTGGACATGATTGCAACCACGGCGGCGCCAATAAGCTGAGTATAGACGCTAATTGTATCTGTTGCACGAACAGAACCATCCTCGTATACTCGGGTGTATTCACTTTTCTTGTTGATGCCTACCCAACGTACGCCGCGAGCGCTCTGGCAGCGAACAGTTTTGCTCGCTCGACATTTGGTGGTGTCTTTCCATTGTTCGGTAACCAAAGTAAGCATTCTCTTCTTCGCTTTGTGTGCGAATTTCTGTCTATGCATCTGCAGTCGTCCGAAAAGTCGAGCCGAAGCAACAGCTCAGGAGAATGGTCTACCGTCAACGGTGGTAGGCTCATACTCAGCTGACCTGTTGTTACGAACTGCAATGCCTGTGCTTCATCATATCCCTGGTCACTACTGATGATTGAAATGCAGTGTACAATAATCTGGGTTATCATTGGGCGACATCGCTGCTGGCCTTTCTGACACTTGCCATGTCACCATTTCCGTGAGTATTCTTTTATTTCATCCGTACTTTGAGACCAGAGACTTTGGAGGTTTCTACTGTTTGATCCATGCTCCAACTTCCTTGCATCAGCTCGCAGCTGTCAGCCGTGGTTAGCGGCAATTGCGTGGACTGCCGTATTTCTGCTGCTTTTGCCAGGCTGTGATGATGCTACTGGCTTCACGGATAGAATCTTTCGCTGACTACGGTCCTCAAAACAGGTACATATTTTTCCGATATGGTAGCCGTATCAGAAAGAAGAGTCGATTCGCTACACGATAGACGACCAACTTTGTTGCCGCCGCATATCGAGCGTGCATTGTCATGGTGCCTGACATACGGCGACCGAGCTATTGCTTGCTGTTTTCATGCTAAAAATTTTACCCGGCAAGGGTTGTACATCTAAACATAGACGCATGCATCCATGCAGATATACACTTACTAGAATATACCTAATGCATAAGAACCAACAGGACGAGGTGAATGGCTCTCTGAAACGAATGCATAGACAAGTTCACGGCTATCTACACAACGAGTATGACAAGTTATCGGCCATATACAGCGAGGACCAGCTGCTGTATTCGCATGGTTAATCCCTGACGGACCTGGCAGACGAACCCTTGTTCATTACCAAGCAACTGAATCCAGGCCAAGCCAGACCAAACCTAAAGACGTTGGCTCTTTACCTTACCTCCGCGTATCTGTCTACACAATCTCCTGCAACAACAGTCTTTTGCAGAAATATAGCCCCTATTTCAGCCATTCCCCTCCAGAGCAATGACCCCCGTATGATGCAGGAAAAAGGAAATCCATCCAACAGGGCTATGCAGAAAGTCCGTTTTACCGAGGCATTTCCCGAAACTGGGCAGGCTGTCGAGGGTCGGGCGATCACGGGGAACTTGGTGGCATTCCGGAATTACCCTGGCGTAATTTTGGAGAGTTTGAGGGTTTTGCTGTACGTAAAATGACTCATACAAATGGATTGGGTTGTTGGGTTTCGTTTTGTTGTTTTGGTCGTTGAGGTTGATGTTCGCTGATTGTGTACAATGTAATCGGGATTAATTGTCTTGTTGTTATGAAAGGGTGAAAGAGGATTAGATAACATGTCTATCATGGGTATGAATCTTGAAATTTAGATGAGCAGCACGTGGGATAAGATATGGTGGAGGTGCCTGAGGCTTGAACCAGGTTGATACTATGGGTTATCACAAGCAAGCTTCATCTGGACGTTGATATACGCGATGCATGTGAGAGCAATATTCCAGGTCATATCAGATACCATATATGCGGCAATTGCCTCTGTCTGGCTTTCTGGACCTCATGGCATGATGTGATGATATCTCCAGGGCTCGAAATATTACCAACAGACTGGTAGATGCAAGAATGTGACAGTCAATTGAAACCACAATTGATCTTAATGTGTAAGGCTGAAACCTTCTGCCTGAGGTTATCCTCATTTCCCAAGCAGGAAATACCTAACAATAGCTTCGAGCCGACCTGTAAAGGTACTTGAAACCATCTGCATGAATCTCTTACCTGCTTATGATACTTATGATACTACTGGCGCATCACTGTCACACTCATCAAAATCCCTCAGATATACTTTCTTGTCTGCGAGTCTGGACACGCGACTCCCTTAACTCGACTCGCGTTGGTTGACTTTACCTGCTTGTCACATAAGCCACCGGGGTTCTATTTCTATTACCTTACTATCACCGCTATTGGTATTCGAGTTACATATTATTACCTTATTTCTCGAAATTTGACTCTTCCCTGTTGTTTCTATTTTCCTTAATTTCTCTCCTCTGTTCGTTTTCTGGTGCTTCTTTTCCCCCCGCGTTCTCAATTTTTACTTTTCTCTCGTTTCGCATCTGATCACTCTCCTCTCCACTCCTCCTCTATATTCTTGGAGTCCTTTTATCACGAGTGCTGTTTTCGCCTCAATTTTACATCTCCTCCATGGATTCTACCCGCAGCGTCTCAAAGTGAACTCAACTCGAACCGCCCAAGTGCAAAGTCAACTTTTCCCCGCAGCCCCGGCAAGCCTTTACTGTAACGCTCCACCCGTTCCCATTCTCTACGTACTTCAGCCGCACAGCCATCAATATTATTATTATCATCATTCTATCACGTCCGCGTGATCGAGTTTATATTTTCCCTCAGGTCCCATTGTTGGACCGTCTTGACCGCGGTTCGTGTCTTGGTTTGCGCCTCGGTCCACAATTCGCAAGTATCCAAGGTCTTTCCTGTGCTCCGGTACTCGGTTTGCCGCTCGCCCCATCCACATCCCTACAACTTCAAGACGACAGCGGTTCCATGTGGTACATCGTTTATCCGGGGTAAAACGCTAAGCGTAAAAGTCTCAGCCTTCAATCTGGATACCCTGAGGAGTGTTTCGTTTGCAGCGCGCCTGTCGTCGAAGAATTACGCTCGCCTGGTGACGGAGAAAGAAGATCCAGAGGTGACAAGCGATAGCCGACGGCTTTTGACGTGACGTCCTTCGCTCGCCGCAGTGGACGCGCTCACGACAATAACCCCTACCAATAACTCCTAGACACGCGAATGTCGACATGAAGTCGGAGGATAACGGGAGCGCCTCAGCTCTGGCTGGCGATCATGGTGGAGTCGATCAGGATACCCCAGACGCGGGCGATCGCACGGAGCAAGCGAAGCACAAGACCAACGGCGCTACTGAGAATGCCCCAAAATCGGCCAATGCGAAGGATCCGTCAAGACCACGAAGGAAGAAGGCAAGGAGGGCTTGCTTCGCTTGTCAACGGGCGCATTTGACTTGCGGTACGCTTGTGTGACCTTTTTCTTTTCTGAGTTTAATAATATTCGCGCGCGCATCAACCCTGCCTCATGCAATGGAAACAAACAAACTGATCGAGAAACTGCCTCTTAGGTGACGAGAGACCGTGTCAGCGCTGTATTAAACGGGGTCTTCAGGATGCGTGCCATGACGGGGTGCGGAAGAAGGCTAAATACCTGCACGATGCGCCGGATGGAGCGTTGATGCCTGGAGTTGGGGGGAATTTCTACAACAACGCGATGCGAAATAATTTGCCCTTGTCTCGAAATGGTGCCAATACAGTGAATACATCCTCTCAGCAGAATTCGGGGTCCAATTACTATCCCACGCCTCAATCGAACTCTTACAATGTCTATCAAGATACCCCTCTGACACAGAATTCTTTCACTTCGCAATCCCCCGTTTCCCCAACCTTCAACATGAAGACCACTCCGACGGCTCGAAGTAACAGCTTGTCGTCCGCAGTGAACCAACAGCCTCCCAACACAACCGTATCAGGCGCCACCCAGAGTCAGAATCCCTTCGCGGGACCATTCTTTGACCCAAGCGATCCTGCTCTCTTCAACTTTGACCTTTCTAGCATGAACTTTGAGAATCGCTATGGTGCGTTGGAGTTTGGGATGCTCGGCCATATGGCGACCGGTGCTGGTGACTCTCCCACTGATTCCGCCACGCAGCGAGGATCGATCGGCCGGAGTGGCTCCACGCAGTACTCTACGACACCCATCACTGGGGCCCCTGGCTTTGGGGAGAGTCCTGGTAACCAGCAACCTTTCATTTTTGGCAACGATCCGCTCCTGAACGAATGGCCAAATAGCCAGGCTCCAAATCAAGGGCATCTGAATGTCAGCGGCGTTTATCCCCAGGGCGGCATGATGCACATGGCCAAGTCTGATGCGCCACATGCGTTTGCCATCGAGAGCGGACCGGCTAGTTTCTCCAGCCCGAGTGCGACAACCAGCCCTCATATCAACAGCGGGTACGATGACAGTTCGCTGAGCAATACGGTCGTGAACAAGTCAAACGGCTTAACTGCCAACGGACAACGGCCGACGATCACGACGCCAAGCCTGAAGCACCAAAGCCTGCAGTTTGGAGTCAAACGACGTCAGCGGAACCCGTCGACTGTGTATGAGAGCGTGAAAGAGCCGTACGCCTATACGAACCGCTTCCACAATCTGACTGCCTTCATCCAACGGCGTTTTACCCCGCAAAAGACCTTGCAGATTGCGAAAGCGTTAGCGTCGATCCGGCCGTCCTTCATTGCCACGACCAAGACGCTTAACCGGGATGATTTGATCTTCATGGAGAAGTGCTTCCAGCGGACGCTCTGGGAGTATGAGGACTTTATCAACGCGTGTGGGACGCCAACGATCGTCTGCAGACGTACCGGCGAGATTGCAGCGGTCGGCAAGGAGTTTAGCATCCTCACCGGCTGGAAGAAGGATGTGTTACTGGGCAAGGAGCCGAATCTCAATGTCAACACCGGAGGCGCATCGGTACCCGGTTCTGGCACCACATCCCGCGGCAGCTTTACGCCTCGAAGTTCTACGCTGGAAAATGCCACTCCTGGACGCCCGCAGCCTGTGTTCCTTGCTGAATTGTTAGATGACGACAGCGTGGTAGAATTCTACGAAGACTTTGCCCGACTGGCCTTTGGCGACTCCCGCGGCAGCGTCATGACTACATGCAAGTTGCTCAAGTACAAGACCAAGGAGGATATGGAGCTTGCACAGTCTGATGACAATCAGAGGTGGAATAATCACCTGCGCAAAGGTGGGATTGCCGGCGAGGCGGGGATGAATCAGTTAGGTTTCAAGGATGGCAAGGTCGAATGCGCCTACTGCTGGACAGTGAAAAGAGACGTATTTGACATTCCAATGCTTATTGTGATGAACGTGAGTTGCCAATGATTTTGACGAGTCGACATATGCTGATTCCGACTGCAGTTCTTACCGTGCATATGATTGATCACCTTGTTGGTGGTTCGTACACGGATGCCCTTTGAATGCTTTGAATGTGTTATTGATCATTTTGTGCATTTGTTTATTTCATACCCTCGGATGGATCAAAAGTTCCCCCCCCGGCCGACTGTTTATGTCCGACTGTTTATGTCTATGTTGTTCACTGTACTACCCTTGAATAGGGCTTTTGCATTGGTACATAACTTTCTTCTTTGAGGTGTACGATTGTCGATTTTTGTCGGATTGTCTTATAAGGGTTCTACTGGTTCTAATGTCTTACTGGGCCGGTCTGAACATAATTGCTCTGCCTCTCCGGCACCGCAACCGGAGACTTCTCTCCTGCCGGATGCTGTGGATGACTTGAACATGGCATTCAAGTATATATTTATCCTCTTTTTCTCCGTTTGTCTAGTTAGAGAGTAGTGTCTGGACAGTGATTGTCTTGGCATATGGGAGGGTGAACAAATCAATGACTTTAGTGAATAGGCTATTCGAGGTCTTCAATTCCACTGTCATCTTAAATCTGTAAAGAAGAAGATCTTGAGCAATTCTACAGCATCTGAATGTTTCCTTGCCATATGATGACTACCTTGGACTCCCATCCGCAGGTAATTATATAACAGTAAAATACCAGTGGAACCAATAATATTTGACTCCCACCGTCACAATATTACCCCGCGTCGTCCGCCGGCTCTTGCAGCAATACGAGCATCTTCCGCCATGTTTTCGACCAGTTTCCATCAGTCATACAAAATAGTCTAACCCCTTTGTGACTCCTCTTCCCAGCAAGAGAATCCCAAGAGAGCCCCCAAGAGAAGAAACCAAACCAAAACCGACCCAAGCGAACAACCACAACAACACCATCAGACCAACCTCGCCATGCGACCGGACGGACCTCGGGATCCCGTCGCGGGGCCAGACAGCGGTCCCGAACAACCATATCCAGTGCGTCTATCCGGACCCGTGATCAAGGGTTTTGGACGGGGAAGCAAAGAGGTAGCTATCATCTTTCCGCATCTGCATCCGCATACAAAGTGACATGGTACTAACGGTGATAGCTGGGCATCCCGACGGCCAATATCCCCGCCGAGGGACTTGCAGAGTACCCAGATCTCCAAGTCGGGGTGTACTACGGTGTTGTGGCGCTTGATCCAGCCAAGTTCCAGTATCAGGAGGGGCAGGGCGAGGGCTCGACCTCGTCGACAGCAGGAGCGGCCATTCTGCCTGCTGTGCTGAGTATCGGGTATAACCCGTTCTACAAGAATAAGACAAAGTCTATCGTACGTCTTCCCTCCTACCATTGAGCAAGCATCTTCGAGGAGACGCAAATACAACGAGGGCCGTATGCTAAGGCGATTACAGGAAATCCACATCATGCCACCGCTTTCCTCCCCATCGCCAACGGCAGAAGGCGCGGGAGAAGCGGGCCAGGTGAAATTCCACAAATTGCCCGACTTCTACGGGACGCAGCTGAAGCTGCTGATTCTGGGGTATATTCGCCCGGAGTACGATTATGTGTCGCTGGAGGCGTTGATCGAGGATATCCGGGTGGACTGCGAGGTTGCGCGGAAGAGTCTGCAGCGGCCGGCTTATGCGTGTTATATTGATGGGGATGAGAAAGAGTGCTCGGATGTGGTGAGGGAGCAGCGGAGGTGGTTGGTAAACTTCTGATCTTATTATAGATTTGTAGTAGTGTTTTAGACGATTGTACATAGATAAACTGTTGCCTGGCGAGACTCATGTTCACGTGGACATTCCACTACCAGTATCAGCCCTACAAGTAGCACCAGCGCTAGCAATGAGCGGATGCGACGGAGACCCCTGTTAAAATGTCTGGTTCAATGGATCCACCATTGCCTCGATGCGATGGAGTCTGCAGCCCGTTTAAAACACATTGACTGGACCGTTCTGCGGTGCCAATAATCGTCGACGTCAGAGCGGTGTTGGCGCCGAGGAATGTATATACCCTATGTATGCAGGACAGGTGGAATGCAAACAAACCAGTTATGGTGATACTTGCACCCCAAGAGTCTTAACTTATGTCATTCGACATATCCTATATTGGTTGCAAAATGCGTTGATGTAGCCAGAGATGGTAAGACCATGATTTATATACCATATATGCGATCCAGTGAGTATGTCGAGAACGTTCATTCTGGTACACTGCTAATTTGCAAAGGTCGAATACTATAATTACCAGCATTGAGATTTCCCAAGGAAAAAGGCAACTCCAGTCTGTAACTCGTACTGCAAGGAATACGCTGCAATGGATAGACTGCGCCAGCATCTCTCTCGAAGGCGTCGCAGCAGCAGCTCTAGCGCGACACCTCTTCAGGCGCCCAAGTCTCCCAATTTCCCCAGCAGCGACAGGCGCCAGGATGAACGGGACGTATCCCCGCGACGTCTCTATGTAACGTCCGACACGCATGATTTCGACCCAAGCATCATGGCGCGCTTCCAGGGTGAAGGGTTCGAGGTGGAGTATTTGCCATTCCCAGGCGGAAATGAAGATATCGAGAGAGATCGCAAGGATCTGGTGAACCTGTTGCACGAAAGGGAGGATGATCTCGAGCCTGGGGAGAGATATGCCGTCGTCGGTATGTCCAATCTGTATTGTCTGGTTAGAGCCCATGCTAATGAGAAAAGCATATCACCGGCCAGCCTTTCTACTCCTCGCATCGCACCACCAGTCCACAACAGCCACCAATCCTCTCCCCAGAATGTGCGCTCTAGTCGCCTACTACCCGCGCGAACCATTTGACGGCACCTGCAACAAAGAAAGCACTTCACCGGCATGTCTGCTTCCCCCCTCCACCACCTCAACCTCCACCTCCTCCTGCTACGCATCCCTCAGCCTCCTCCCCATCCAGATTCACCTAGCAGGCCACCAAAACCCCTCCTTCTGGGACGACTACAGCGCCCACCCCAGCAGAAAGCGCCACAGATGCCACCTCTTCTTCTACCCCGAGTCCGAGCCGGGCTTCGCAGAGCACCCGAGCCCAACCTACGACCGGCTCAGCTCGCGCCTCGCCTGGAGCCGCGCGCTGGATTGTCTCAAGCGCGGGTTCGGCTGGCCCGGTGGGAGCTGGAAGACGCCTGACGTCGAGACGATCTGGGAGGAGTACTGGCGGAATCTGCTTTTCGATGCGAGCCGTCAATCCGACGGGGAGGGACACGCCGCCAAGGTCATGAAGATGATGATCGGGAGTGGGGATCCCCGCAATCTAGACAGGCTGATTGATGAGACGCCGTTGGTGAATTGTGTTCCGACTATGGTTGGGGGTATGTAATGACGCCTTCTGATTTCACCCGATATATGGGGTGTCCAGTGTCCTTTTGCTTACTGTCGACAGGACGCGACGAGCAGTCGATTTCGACCTTCTACGCGGAAGCGTTCTTCCCTACCGGGCCCCCATCACAGCAGATTCGCTTGCTCTCGCGCACCGTCGGGCCGGACCGCATCGTCGACGAGATCCTGCTGGCGTTCCGGCATACCGAGGAAATACCTTGGTTGCTCCCGCGGGTCCCGCCCACGGACCGCGACGTGAAGATTGTGCTTGTGATGACGGCCAGTTTTCGCGCGGGCAAGCTCTCCCGGCAGAATATTTACTGGGATCAGGCGAGTGTGCTGGTGCAGATTGGGTTGTTGGATCCGGCGCTCGTGCCGGGGAGTTTCCGCCCGACGGGCAAGACGAGGGAGGGTAGGCAGGACGTGGAAATATTGCCAGTTGTTGGGGCGGAAGGGGTGGAGAGGGTTCTGAATGGGTAGAGAGTAGTGCTGTAGTACTGATTGTATGAATCATCTATATTGAGTATTTGTGCATGACTGTTATAAGGCATCCATCAATGATCGCAGAGAGACCAGATCCCTGCTCACACCCCCCGGACTTTTCAATGTCCTCAGACTAGCCTCTTGTGCTAGAGGAATAACTTCCTCAACCGATGTCCCTGATCCCTTTGCAAGCCCGGCAACAACCGCACCAAGCAGCGTGTCCCCCGCACCATTGACACTCACAATCTCCCCATCCGCCAGGACCCCAGCCGACGGGAAAAGCCGCATATACACACCCCCGATCAGCTCATCTGTAGGTGAGGCGCGAGAGAGGATATACGGTGCCGAATCAGGAGATGTGAGACGAGCATCTCCCGGACGAAGCAGTTGGGTCACCAGAACCCCCTGAGCGCCCAATTTCGTGATAATGCACGGAATAAAGGGAAGTAGTTGGATGCTTTGCTGTGGGATTCCCTGATCCACCAGCTCGGCTGTCGTCATTGCAACCAGGCGGTCGCGTGAGCCAGACGCGGACATTCCCATGGCGTCAATGATGCGCCACCAGCCTTCGGACTCGAATAGCCCTGATTCGCGGGCTGCCATGTACATGGCAGAGAGCTCGTACTGATTAGGAGCGGCCAGACTGATGGCGTTGTTCGGGACTGCCCCGGCCGGTCCAATTGCTGCCTCCGCCTCGGAAGTCTTTGAGAACAGACGGCGAGACTTCGCCGTAGAGACCGGCTCAAAGGCGACCCGCGAACCGTGCTGCTTAGCAACGGCAATCCATCTAGCTAGAACCGCCGGACTCCAGTTCGCATCCACGACCACCCACTGGGGCTGGGTGCGGCGGATCAGGGGCTCCCAGAACTCGTCAAAATCAAGCACATGCTCCGGCAGCTCCATGATGCCCATGTCAGCCATAGCCACTACGAGGTCGCGCTTGGCGTCGTTGATCGCGACATATTGTGCCGTGCGCGCTCCAGACGACGCAGGAAGGATTTGTACGCCGGCGGTGGGAAGCCCCTCCTCCTTCAGCGTCGAGAGTGCAGCACGGCCACTCAGGTCCTCCCCGACTACACTGCAGAATAGGACAGAGCTTCCAAGATAACGTGACGCAATGGCAACGTTGTGGCCTACTCCGCCCAGGCTCTGCCCGATGACAGCGGGATTTGATGTTTGAGGAACGGGTGTAATCTTGTCGCTCTCGCTAGCAAAGGGGGTATAATCGCAGGACAGGTCGATCGCAAGAGAGCCAGCAACAAGGACATCTGCCTTATCCAGTTGTTCAATTGTACTCTTAGTTAGGGGTTTATGGTCCACCCCGGTCTCTGGAGTTGCTTGGTCAGCTCTTGCGTTCTCGGAGATTACTGGCATGTGTCTGCAACATTAGGGACATTCCAAGATTTGCGGTAATCTATCATCACATAACCCATCAAATGGGCGAACTCACCGGCCTCCAGTCCCTCTATCAGCCTGTTCTAGTTTGGACAGTTCAACCGCCACCTTGGTTGCGCGCTTCACGTTGGCCTCGACCAGCGCCCTGTTGGCAATTACACTCTTCCCGCCACTGAGCTCCTTGATTTTCGCAAGCACAAAAGGTGTGTTGTCGCTCCCTCGGTAGCCTTCGACTTCGGCCAAGCGGATCGCCTCTTCTATTATCGTGTCCATTTCGCCTCTGGGAATCGACTGTTCCGCCGGCACTGGATTGGCAAAATGGATACCAGAGTTTACAGGGAGCTTCGATTGCGCGTCTGTTTGTGTCAGTACGAATAGCGCGATTGAATGAACAGAGTCCTGGCTGCCTACATATGATCGCGGCCGCTTCCGCTTCATCCCGGATTACTCTGGGACTCTTGATCCCACTGTCGCGTGAGAAAAAGGCAGGGAAGTCCACAGTGCCTTCACGGCCATCGGCAAATGTCCCAACACAGACTCCCTCGGTTTCTAGAAACTCAAGTGTCCGCGGAATATCCAGGAAGCTCTTGCATCCGGAACTGACAACAGCAACAGGCGTCCGTCCCAGCTCAGTCAAGTCGGCTGCATCGCGCTCAAGTCAGCAAGAAATCACACCGGGAGGTGAGATTGGCTACGTACCAGAGATATCCATAGATGACTCCCCGCCACGGTGAACACCACCTAGATCAGTCAGTCTATGCAAATAATAGCAAAGGGTATACTTACCGAGACCACCTGTCCCGAACACCTTGATACCAGCCAAGTGAGCAAGCACCATTGTCCCGGAAACGGTTGTTCCTCCATGGAGTCGTCTACCAGCCATTCCCTGATAAATGTCAGTCAACTGATTGAGACTCCCTTATTCGAAGTCATCGTACCAGACCGCATATATAACCGAGATCTCTACGCGAAACCTTCAAGGCATCCTTTTGCTCTGCCGTCGATGCTAGCTCAATGAGCTCCTCGGCACTAAGGCCAACCCTAGCAACCCCACTGAGAATGCCAATCGTGGCGGGAATTCCACCATTGACTCGAACAACAGATTCAAGCAAAGAGGCGAGAGCGACACTCTCGGGATATGGAAAGCCTACCAGTGGCATTAGCCTCGCTTGCTACTCAAAGCTATGTTGGCTCAGACATACCGTGGGTATAGATTGTAGACTCCAGTGCCACTACCGGCTTTCCTGTCGCCACCGCATCACGAATCTCCTCTGATACTTTCAAGAATTTGCTTTGTGTCACATCGTGATAGCTTCGAATTGCCCGAGGAGCTCTTGTTGCTGGTCCCCGAGCTCTGCAGCAGAGACGGCTAGCGGCTTGTGAAAGCATGACAAGGGCAGCGTCGTGCAAAATGATACGGAACTCTTATAGTGCAATTAACACATTACACGAGGGGACAGATGAATGATGACAATTGTCGATGTCTGGACGAAGAGAAGTGGAGTAAGGTAGCAAGAAGTACTACGGAGTACTCCGTAGTTAGCTATGTAGCAATCGGTCTATCGCCGATAAGCTAACTGATTGTGATTGTGCCGCCTTGGCTGCCGTAATTAAGGTACCGTACCTTACACAGACGTACGTAACCGACTACCGTTTGGGGACACCTCAGCATCTGGACAGTTTTGGGACCTTTCTCTGTACTCCCTTCCATTCCACCCCCAATTCTTCCAATCCATCTTTCTGTGCTTCTCTCGACATCTCCCGGTGAGATAGATTGTGTACAGCGGTGCGGTCTGCTCAAAAAGACCGCCCATCGTCGCAATGAGGCCATTTACCGCAGTCGCTGCGCTCTGCGGGCTGCTGTTCTCAAGCAGCTTAGTATGCGCCGACTCCTCGACCAGCTCGCGAGTCGCCTTACCCGCAGACTTCAAGCCCCAGCAGGTATTCAAAAATGTGAATCTGGTCCGGAATACCAATTTGGAGAAGGGATATGTTCGAGAAACCGTCAATGTTGTCGTTGAGAATGTCGATAAACAACCCCAGAGCGACTACTACATACCGTTCCCATCGGACGTCTTTGGCAAGGTTGGGGGATTAGAAGTGAGGGACAAGAAGGCACCAGGGAAGGGCAGATTTACAGTTGAAGCTCTGGAAGTCGAGCCACCAAGGTGTGTATGCAATTGGCTGCCAATGGCTCTGTTTGATTGCGATTATGCCGATGCCACGGTTGCTTCGTTGGAGATTCCCTGCTTCTAGACCTGCTATTCGGATATTGCAGAAAGCTAACCTTTTGGTCCTCGCAGCGACTACCAGTACTTTGTCGTTCACTTCCCCGAGCCACTTGCGCCGTCCTCTCAAATCACATTGGGAATCTCATACTTCCTCCTCAACTCTCTCACTCCACGCCCCGCCGCCATCGGCCAAGCTGACAAACAATATCTCACCTATTCTTTCTCCGCTTATACTCCGTCTGCATATCAAACGGTGACTCAGAAGACCAAGGTTAAATTCCCCAGTAACAACGTGCCCGACTACACAACCACTTCCGGCTTGAAGTCCGGTTCCGATCCCGAGCGTCAGGGCAGCACCTACACTTACGGTCCCTACGATACGGCCAAGGTTGCTCCAGGAACTACTTACCCTATCACTGTGCGCTACGAATTCACCAAACCCGTGATCACCGCGTCCTTGTTGGAGCGGGACCTGGAGGTCTCCCACTGGGGTGGAAACCTGGCGACGGAAGAGCGGTACTGGCTCCGCAACAATGCCTCCATGCTCTCGAAGCAATTCTCTCGCGTGGAGTGGACTTTGACCAGCTACCAGCAATTGCCGTCTTCGGCGGTCCGTGAACTCAAGTATCCTCTCAAGCCTGGTTCGGTCGATCCGTACTTCATCGATGACATTGGCAATGTTTCTACGAGCCGCTACCGGCCTGGACAGCCCCCCAAACGGGAAGGATCTCTGGAGCTTCGTCCTCGTTTTCCAATCTTCGGTGGCTGGAATTACAGCTTCCGCATTGGCTGGAACGATGAGCTCTCCACTTATCTGCGTAAGGCAGCTACCGGCGCCGACTCCTATGTGCTGAAGGTCCCTTTCATCGAGGGATTCAAGGTGCCTGAGGGAGCTCAGTACGAGAAGGTCGTTGTCAGAGTGATCCTCCCCGAGGGCGCGCGAAACGTCCGGTATCAGGTTCTGGAGGGAGCTTCCAGCAGTGGCCTCCCTGGCTCGAGCCAGATCCAATCTCACATTTCCAAGCAGAAGACCTACATGGACACTTTGGGCCGCACAGTGCTGACCCTGACGGTCGAGAACCTCTCGGACGAGGCTCGCGATTCTCAGATAGTGGTAAGTCTAGCCCGCACTCGTCTCTATGAATGATTTGGCAGGCTGACACGACGTCAGGTTACTTACGATCACACATTCTGGGACGGCTTGCGCAAGCCCTTCACCATCACTGCTGGAATGTTCGCTGTCTTCGTTACCGCGTGGCTGATCGGAAATCTTGATGTCAGCATCAAGAAGCGATGAATGCCTTTTTTCCCTTGTCATACTATGAGAGCATTTTCTTTTCTTCTTGTCTCGTACATCAAAGAACGCAGAGATATGTACAAGAGTTCCAACAACACGTAGAGCCAAGTAGAGCAGCCCCTATGTATTACTGGAATCCGTAGGGAATTGCGAAACGGCCGAACCAAAACCCTTTCGACATTGCAAATTCTAAAGAGAAAGTTGATACACATGCTGAGCCCCAAAACCCACAGCGACTGCCCTTCCTTCCTTGATCTTCCAGGCTCTGCAGTATCGCAGATACTAAACGCCGAGACGCCTTGCAAACCAACATCGATGTGCGTAAAAATAAGTACAAAGGCCAGAAGACAAAGCAGCCAGCCTTGAGCTATTTTTTTTCTTTTTCTTGGATGAGGGTCAGTCTACTCCTCGAATTTCCTCTTGACCCCGTTTCCGTTCGCGCTGGGTGGCATCTGTCTCGCACGGCGTCTGCGTTCTTCTTCCTCGGAGGCGGCCTGGGCCTGCCGTTTCTTCCAGGCGGCTTTGATAGCCGGCGCGACACGGATGAGATCCTCCTCCGTGACGCGGTCCTCGATACTTTCCAGCACTTTCTCAACAGTCGAGATGTGGTTGGCGTCGGCCTTGTCGTCGCGGAGCCGATGGAACCGCCATCTCCCTTGCTCATCCTTGAAGCATTCCACGATCGAGTCGTCCAGCGGGACTTGCAGCGCCTTGAGGGCCTCCCAGTCCGACTCGGTGACGTACATCTCCCCCCAGGGCTGGTATTCGTTGGCGTTGAGCATGACAAACAGATGGCAAATGGGCATGGCGTCGTAGTCCGGGTAGGGTTCGGTGATGCCGTCGGCCTCGTCGTCCGTGTCCGGTTCGAGGAGGGGAAACTCGAGACGCATGCGGAAGTCGATGGTGTTCTCGGAGGGGGGCTTCCATTTGAGGATGTGCTCGTCCGTGCCGATGCGGTAGGGGGTGCTGCGACAGGTGAAGATGAGGCCGTCGTTGCCGTGGATTTTCTTGACTTTGGGGATGATCTCGCGGAACATCATCTCGATGCCGTAGCTGAACTGCGTGGATTTGTCCTCGACCGCGAACGCGCGGTGTTTTTTCTCTTCTGGGAATTTCTTGTAGAGCGCGTTGTACGGCTTGAGCACCTTCTCCTTGAAATACGCCAGCCGCTTGTCCAGCGTCCGGTGCATGAGCTTCTGCCCGTCCAACACTAAACAGTCGAACACGAGGAACTTGAGCTGCTGCGTGCCGTCCTCGTACGTGTCGTTGACCAGCTCGCCGTCGATTAGGGTGTCGACGTGGAAGGACTGGAACGTCTCGTCGTCCGGCTGGGGGAAGTGCAGGCCGGGTACGTAGCGATAGTCATTCTTGCGGTCGATGAGGTAGTGGATTTCTGGTACTGGGGAGTCCTCTTCACCGCGTGCAAAGTACATAAGACATCGGATGCCGTCCGTTTTCTCGCACACGTAGTAGTCTTCCCGTTGGAGCTCGAGGAGATGCCGTTTCGCAAAACTGACGGGCTGCGCGCCGGGGAAATTGAGGTTATTGCGCCCCAGCAGGGCGGCGACCTCGCGGCGGAACTGATCCGCCAGTTCGGGCTCGGCTTTGATGCCTACAGCATCGAGATCGGGAACGGATGGGTTGCCCATTTTCGACTGGTGGGTGACGGTGGCTTTGACAGCGCGTGGAGGGAGGGATGAGCTGAACGGGAGTGTAGCTGGAGCGACAGGTGAGCTCTCGCCCGGAGGCGCATAAAGTGAAAGGTGTGCGCAGTCCTTAACCGTAGAGCTGCAGTTGGGTATGGAAAGTTGAATCAGATTGCGGTCATTTCATCCAGATTGACAGTGAGGCGCATCCATGGCAGAATGAAGTTCATTCTTTGATCCCGGCGGCCTTGCGGAGGTACCAGTGGCGGCCTGAGGCAGAACTCAACTGAAGTATACAGATTATAGAAGTTGATTTACGAGCAGGAATAGTCTCTACCCAACAGAGCACCTTTTATAGTCTAGGATCAGATAATCTCGTATAGCATCAAATAGATAACCTGCAGACTTTGATTTTGCTCTCAACATTGCGTGTGTAACTAGGTAATATGTCCTTTGAATGTTTCCATGAAGGTAAGAAGAGAACAGAATCGAATGTCGTTACGACTCAACTTGAGACAAGAAGATTCCATATGCCGTGTACAATAGACTTAGGGGTATCATTTCATCACAACCGAACAGCTCCAGACCGGAATAACCTCATCCATGAACCTCCATTAAACGCCATCACACTCGCCAACCGCATGACAAGAAAGGGATATTAGGAAAGGAAACAAGAAGAAGACGGTCATCACCCAAGACCAGCTGGGACGAAGCACAGAAAACAAATTACGAAGAGGCCGCCACGGGTAGCTTCTTTGGAGCTGGCGCAGGGGTCTTCTTCGCTGTATCTGGTGCGTTATCCGACCCCGTCACGGAGACAGGGGATGCTAGGGGAAGATCGTCCATCTGCTGGAACGGATTCCCATCGTTTGTTGGAGTGGCGTCGCCGGTCGAGAAGAGTCCGCCGCCGCGAGCTCCGCCCAAGGCATGAGAAAGCATCTCCTTGATTCGCACGTACTTGTATTTCTTCTTAGTCGAGATCAATGGATGAGTGACCAGGGGTTGTGGGCGCGAGCGAAGAATTGCCGCCATGACGGCGTCTTTCTCCTCGTCAGAGTCGACGGGTCCGTGGTTTTCAAGATCATCTTGAAGCGGAGCATTCGCATCGATAGCCGCCTCTGCAGGATAGAAGACATAACAGTCAGCTCTCCGTACTCACAGCAAACGCGGAGAACAACAATAAAAGAAGACACTCACTCTGCTGACGGGCCTGGTTCTTCTTCTGATACGCCTGGAGGAGCATGTCATAGGGCAAAGAACGGCCGGGCACCGCGCGTTTCGCACCCATCGAGTGACTCTTGCACGTCAACGAACGCGCACACTGAGCCCCATTCGGCAGAATGACACCACACTGCTTCTCAACATCGACGGGGCCCTTTGGCTTCGGCGCCTTCGGCTTAGGCTCCTCCTTCTTCTTTTTCTTCTTGGGCTCCTTATCCTCCTCGCCCTCGGTCTTGCGCTTCTTGCCCTTCTTCGTCCCGTCCTCTGCCATTCCCTTGACGGCGCTCTTCTTCGCGCCCTTCTGCGCCTTGATCGAATCATCCCCGTCCTTGTCGCCGCCCGCGGCATCATCGTCCCCGTCCTTATCCTTCTCTTTGGCCCGGTTCGCCGCATCGCGCGCCTCTTTCTTCCGCCGTGCCTTCTCCTGCTTCGCCCGGATACAGCCACGGATATGCTCTACCGCATTCTGCTTGAGGACCGGCCTTTTGCACGTCTTACATATCACCGTCTCCAAATTATCTTCCTCACGGGGCTTGCCGGTGGGAAAGGCAGCCATAGTCTTTTCATCGATCTCGGGAAGTATGGGCGACGAGCCGGGCGATTCAGGCACTTCTACATTCGCAGGAATGACATTAGCCCCCTTTTATCCCGTGTGCCCCGATGACTTCGATCCGGGCGTATCCAGCAAAGACCTACCGGCAGCCGCCTTCTTCGCCTTGGCCGACTTGGCCGCCTTCTTCAATTTGATCTTCGTAGGTTTCGCATCTTTCTCAGAATACTTGTACCCCGATGCGTCCACCAAGCTGCCCGAGTTCGAAGCGACCGACGACGCTGTACACAGGAATACCACCAATTAGCGTGCATCACCCAAACGACAGGATCTCGTGACATGGGGCCCACGTACCTCGACCAGAATCCCCGTTAGTACCCATGATCGAGCGCGTACAAAAGGTTGGTCCGTAACTCGAGTGCGACGAACAGCCCGATCAAGCCAGTGATGAAATTTCCGACCGTCTGATGAGCAGATGGTGGACGATAAATGTGTTGATGAGTTCAAGTGCTGCGGCGGGTTTCGCTGTCTGGCTCCGGAACTGATCAGTTCACTTCGAATGGGGTCTCCGCATGGGACGGTCACGTGAGGATGTCAGTGTATGATAAGCGGAGGGGGAACAATACAAATCTCATCTCTTCAGAATAGTTGCTAATAACTATTAAAGCCAAATAGTTGGAACCGTTGTTCTCAAGTAGTTTGATATTGTACATAAGCTTTTACTATACAAAATGGAAATGTGAGAGGCCTTCAATGTATCCAGCATTGTAACTGGCATTCCGATCTCCAGACAGAAAGTGCCTCATAATCCATGCTTCGAGAAACACAGACTGCTATTCGTCCCTCCAAATCCAAAGCTGTTTGTTAGTGCTACTGTGATCTGACGCTTTTGTGCCTGGTTTGGGGCGTAGTTGCAGTCGAAGCCTTCCGCCAGACGGTCCAAGTTGATGGTCGGTGGCATCACGTTCTAACAATCAACAATCAGTAAAGCGCATTCATCTCAACTTAAAGCTCCTGAACACACCTCGTTGATAGCAAGAACTGTGAATAACGACTCAAGAGCACCCGCGCCACCAAGTAGATGACCTACGGCCCCCTTTGTGCTGCTGACATTGATCTCGGCCGCGTTCTGCTTCCCTCCAGGGCCGAGAAGGAGAGACTTTATTGCTGCATTTTCCGCGGCATCCCCAACCACAGTTGACGTAGCATGTGCATTGACATAGTCGACAGCAGACGGCGGGACATTTGCATTTTTTAGAGCCTTCTTCATCGCCATCCATGCCCCCTCGCCATTCTCCTTGGGCGCTGTCATATGGTGGGCATCGCCGGAGCAGCCGTAGCCTTTCAGCTCTGCGTAAATGCGAGCACCTCTGGCTTTGGCATGCTCAAGTTCCTAATGGACAGAAAATAAGGCTCTAGTCAGCACCAGTTGATGTCGTCGAAGAGGCCACCCACCTCTAGTACTAGCATGGCCGCGCCTTCACCGACCACGAATCCTTTCCGGTCTGCATCAAAGGGTCTCGATGCCTTTTCTGGAGCATCATTGAAGTCGGTGGCGAGACTTCTTGCTCGAGCAAAGCCGC